AACACAAGTGGAAAGTAAAGAACAGCACACCAAACAGGTATAACAAAATCTTTGCAAACAATATTTTCAAGTTATTCCTTCAAAGATTGAACCTAAATAAAAGTATGTTGCTCATGTTATCACAACTGGTAGTCCAAGCTTGAACTTGTCTAGTCTTTTAAGGGCTCGTGATAATGTAGTGCTAATGTAGTGCTAATGCAGTGCCAATGTAGTGCAATGTAGTCCTAATTTAGTGCAATGTAGTGCTAATGTAGTGCAATGCAGTGCAATGTAGTGCTAATGTAGTGCTAATTGTTTTAATCACAAGGAGTTCCACTTAAAATATACTGAAGCTTGCGCTCTCTGCACCCCAGGAATATATCATAGCAAAATTGAAGGCACGAAGATAGCTGTTTGATTGGTCTAGGTAAAAAAACTGACCAATCACTAGGCTGATACCTGTCCTTTGAAGATTACAAAGGAGCAACACTCGACTTCAAAGCCTGTCAATTTTTACTGTTACGTGACCACGAGATTCTTTTGATGTATATCAAAGGATCAAACTAGTCTTCTTGTCTCATCAACAAGGTGGTACACACCGAGCCTTCAATTTTGCTATGACATATTCCAGGGGTGCAAAGAGCGAAAGTGAGCGTAACCCCTGGATATCGAGGATGTATATGTGTTACTGACAAAGAAGAAGTTTTCACTGTACCAGGTATTAGATCTTCCAGTGTATAGTAACACACTGCTACTTTGCACCTGAAGATCAAATATAAAAAAAAATATTGCAAAATATCACATCTTCTTAGTCAATAAAACTATTTTTCATAATAGTGTACTTGGATTTTAACAATTTTAACTTATATATAAAGCAACAAAGTTCCTTGGTTAGAATTAAAACCCTTAGCAAGGCATTCATCTTACATTTTGATACTGTGTCATATGAGCAACTGTGACATAATGTCATCATTGACATGCCATAAACTCATTCACCCCTGTCATTTTATGATAAACTATTCCAACCTTCGAATTGGAAGAGTTCAAATGTGTCTTCAGGGCTGAATGAGTTAATGCACTGTTGTTGAGGTGACAGCTTACAATCATTATGACTAAATCCCCTGTTCTGGGTAGAAAAATGATAACTTACAACATGAAAAATATTAAAACGTCTGTATAGGATTAGGATAGAGAAAACAGCAAACAATCACTTTTGTCAAAAGTAGTAGTTATTGCACATTTCAAAGCACCAGGTGCATTGGTATAACTTGTTATCATTATTCTTAAATCATAGTAAGTTGGGTAGCTCTACAGTGCCTTTAAACGTGGTACTGTACATACAAGTAAAACAGATGGTATGTCAATGAAACACGATGCACTATTTAATGGGTATTGAACACATCCGCACATTTTATTTGCAGATATATAGGATATCCACTTCCTGTACTTTTCCCTACAATCAGTTTCACATTTTACTCAAAAGTGTTGCTAAAGGGAGCACTTATAGAAGTTTGGTTTGGATTAATGGGTTTAGCAGGGGTGGAATTAACCGCCGACGTGCAGTGGCCAGTGGTTATCTGGGTGGACCAGTAGTTTTTTTAACAAGCTATCCTTCGAATCCTGGCCAGTAGATGTTAATTTATCTAAAATTTCAGCAATTAAATTTTCCGGGGAAGATTTTCCCGGATCCCCCTTTGGCACTCACTCATGTCTCCGGCCCTAGTTTTCTGGACCAGTGCACTTCAAAGGGGACCAGTTAATTTTTACTTCAACTGGACCTTTGGGCCAGTAACCCTTTTAAAAAATTCCACCCCTGTTTAACATCCTATTACATATAATAAACGTCTAAGGTCATTTAAGGATGAACCTTATGGAGAGATACTACAGTACGAGGACATATATATTAAGTGAAAATATAACCGACAAAAAGGAATTCACTATTACATGGGAAAACAGCTGTATGTAAAAATAATCAAAGCAAAACTTAAACTAATAACACTGTAACACAGAATGCATTCACATTTTTTTTTTATAAATATAATTGCTAAAAGGATTTCACCATAAAAAAAATATGTATACTAACAGATTTACCATTGTTTAATACCTTGGAATAAGACCATTTGGCTGCTAAATTCATTTTATACAGGCAGTACTAGGTTCTGTTGGCTTAGGGAGCACCAATAAAAAAAATAACATCATAATAAAAATACAAAGGACGTATAGCTACATACTGTCTGAAGCAAGAGGCACAATATGCGCCTGTACTAATGACCTGATATTTAACTCATTCCACCCTGAACTTTCATAATGAACTATTCCAACCTTTGTGTTGGAAGAGTTCAAATGTGTCTTCAAGGGTGAAATACAAAGTACCTACATACTGTCTGAAGCAAGAGGCACAATATGTGCCTGTACTAATGACCTGATATTTAACTCATTCCACCCTGAGCTTTCATAATGGACTATTCCAACCTTTGAATTGGAAGAGTTCAAATGTGTCTTTAGGGGTGAATGAGTAAACGACACTGGGGAAACACATATGTATATGCTGAAATGACAAAACTACAAGCAAAAGATATTGACTTCAGAACTTGTGATTCATTACAAAAATACACATGCTTCCCAACAGTTCAGCGCACTTTGTGCAAGGAAAGCTAAAAACTTAGGTGTTATATTAAAGATTGTTTTATGTTCAATATAAATCACATGCAATTATCAAAGTCACTTAAGAAATCGATATAATGTTCAACCTGTTTCTTTTTTTCTAAATGTTGTTCTAATTTATATTAACAAATAAAGAATAAAGAATTTCATATTAAAACACAATACATCTCCAGCACACACACACAGGCATACACACATAGGGAGATATTAGCCAGGTGGCAAAGGACTAGTAGTTAGCGCCTGATAAGGCAGCTCCTGCAAATTCTTCAATATTGTATTGATTAATATATATGCTAATTGTATTGACTGTATAAAACTGTGCATCTATGTACTGTAAAGCGCTCTAGAGTGGCTTATGTTAGCTAGATAGGGTGCTATATCAAATGTTGTATATTTATTTATTTTATTTATTACAAAGATAATTTACAAAATAAATGTTTCCATCCAATAGGATGCAATGGAGTTCAGGACAGATACATGACATGCCTTTTAAGCAAATCATGTAAAAACACATATGAACCTACAGGTCTGCATAGACAGAATTTTACACACAATAAAGTGCAAAGGACTTGTGGTTACGTCACGAAAAAGGTCAGCTGTTCTTCACCACTCACCACAGTGGTGACAGAAATTGTGTTGGAATGTCCTGTTTATGCAAAAAGGGGCGAAAGAAACCTGACAACAAGACAACTCCAATCTCTTATCCCTAAATACTCCTATGTACACAGTCAGTCTACAAGTGAAGGCCAAAACCAGGACAAAACGACTCAAAAAGCTAAATCACACATGCTCGACCCAAATTTCAATATGTCGGACAGCATGAATGATGTGAGTGCCCCAAATTTCAATATGGCCGACAGCATGAATGATGTGAGTGCCAAGTCCATACGAGACCTAAAAGACCATATTCTAAAGGCAACGGAAAACCTTGCAAAGTAAATAGACAATACAACTATGTCAATTGAAAAGTTGGAGAGAAGATTGATAGAGATGGAAAATTAATTCAACTCTGAAAATTTACACACTTATACATACTCTTAACAACCAATTTTGACGCACATCCAATAGCTTCTTTTTTTTTCATGTGTGCCATGAATACCTGTTGCAAAAGAGAAAAAAAAGAAATATTTCAAAGGGAAAAAAACCAGCAATATATGGCATGGGGAGTATAAAACAGTTTATACAACATGGCAATATGGTTACTTTTGAGCGAGTAAATGCCGTTAACCTTGCGTACTAAACAATTGCTGAATCCCAAAAATACCTTGTTAGTAGACCAAATATTTAAGATATCAAAGTAATAACAAAGTTGCATTATACGTCCTACAATTTGGTTTGTTTGTGTTTTACGTCCTATTAACAGCTATGGTCGTTTGAGGACGTGCCAGGTTTTTGTAGTGGAGGAAAGCCAGACTTCCCGGAGAAAAAGCATTGACGTACGGCCAGTTCCTGGCGACTGCACCACGTAGGTCTCGAACCCGCGACCCAGTGCTAGAGGGCTAGTGGTAGCAAAATGTCAGACACCTTAACCACTTGGCCACCGCGGCCCCTTTTATATACAACTACATAGACATTACAAAACTATTAAATCAACATGTCAAGGTGCTTCAATTCTAATGGGACCTTGCCAGTTTAAAAATAGGGTTCATTTGGATTTCATACTTGGACGGCATCAGTTTGAAAGTCTTTAATTAAACATTATATACATAATCTATCAAAGTATCAACCTTGATATTATTCAGTTCAAAATTACAAGCATGCAATTGACATAATACAGTATGTGTTTCAACAAAAGAAATATTGTTTACCATATCACCCCTAAAGTCACATTTGAACCTTACCCAATCAAAGACTGGGCAAGTCTAGTTTAAATATGTAGGGGTGAGTGAGTTAAATAAGCCCAACTGACCAATTTGTAATCTCCAACTCTTAGTACAGGTACAAATGAAATAGGGAAAGAACCGACATCCAATATGTTCACATGTGGCTGATTTTCTTAATTCAATGAATAACTACTTTCCTTTTTACTTTACATTTTGTAAGTAGGAGTGTTGGCTTATAAAACGACAATGAAATAGCATGTGTATGCATTTCTACAGCACTGCAATCAATATGAATTTTTCACATTCTGGCCTCTTAAAACTTATTTGTTTTACAGCTATATATGACACAATTCTTTATTTGAAATACCAATTAATGCTACAATCCTCTGACTCAAAGTTGGGGAGTGGGCTAATTATTACAGGACAATAAATGATAATTTGTGTCATTATTAACTGAACTGCTATAGATATGGGTGGGCTTATTACCAGGCATGGACTTATTGCCAGATAAATACAGTATATCATATTATTAGATTGAATTTAATTTGAATGTTTTTATCTCACCATTTTCTTTTCAAAATCACATCTGATCAATATTGAAATATATGCCATCATTCCTTAAATACTAAAATTTCTCTTACAGACGTTTTTTTTTCTTCTTTCTTTTATAACTTCTATGGTAATATTTGGCCAAGTACAATTTCTAAAATAAAAATTAAAACAGAAATCTATATGATTATGTGATGTGCAGATGTAGATTGCATCACATAATATGCTGATCACCAATTTTACACGACAGTCTGTACATGTCTGCCTTGCATGGCAAATGCAATGTTTTGAAATCTTTAGATCAGAGATTTATTCTATGACATGACAGTTGGCCTGCATCGCATAGCACTGTTTGATTGCTTCCTGACAGTTGTTGAAGTCCTGCCAGGGTAGGCATATGTTCTGCTGCAAGAATTGCAGGTGTTTGTTTAACACATGAAGCGTGTGTTCCGGTCCCTGGTTCCCAGACAGAAACTTCTCTAGTACAGTTCGAAAAACTTTGTCCGAGCATTCCAGGGTGAGAATGGTCTTGGCCAGCTTCTGTGTGTACTTACATGCGGTACATTTGGCCGTTTTTGTTGTGTTGTTGACAGGTGACAAAGCACTGCTACACTTCTCACACTTGAAGATTGGTACTTCGTTGGGGATGTTGAAATACAAAGGCCACACATTTTGACAGGGGAGACAATTACATACAAATTGGTACTGTGACAGTTTTTTCTGGCGGTCAGATTTCGCGCTAACTGCATACACTGTGCCGTAGTTATCCAAGATTTCTCGACCCTTTGAAATTTTCTTGATGGCTCTGACGACACACACGTCCCCGTAAGAGTGGCGGACAACATCTGGATCACACGAGTGATTGAACAAACTAAGCATTGCATATATCGCAGAACCAATTTCCTCACCAACAGATTCAGCAATCATAGTTTTCTTCAGCTTCAATTCAGAAACTTCATGGGCATTGCATGGAAGCATTTGGATGTGGCGTAGGATGTGTCCACCTACATACATCAAGTCCTCGTGACGTTTTTCTGTAGAGGGAACAAAAGAGGAATTCTCTAAGCATTTCACAAGGAACACTGCATTGATAGTACGCTTTAATAGATCTGTTGTTGTTCGTTTTTCACAATGATTTACTAAATTGTAGACAGTATTGTAATCATTTGAGTCATAAACCCCGTCCCTGTTGAAGCCAGATCCGAAGGAGTCCCCAACAGCATCTGCGGTGTCCTTGTACGCCTTCAAATACTCAAATCCAGCTTTAAGAACCATTCGAAATGATAAATGTCCGAGGCCGAGCTGAGCGGCTTGAATACCGCCGAGATGTTCACACTCTACGCAGTGATAATTTTTCCACGATTCCATTTCACACTGACGGGAACAGTAACCGACTTCTGCACAGTTGCGACAGGGGAACGGAGAGAACAATCTCTCACAGCAGTTGTGACAGTTTAATATGCTACATCCTGGCATGCTCACGGACATGTAAGCTTTCTCTACAACCAGGACATCCCCGATCTCGATGTCCTCTGCCGCGTAAATGCCACGACCCATCTCCTCACTTTCTTCCATGGTAACTGCAGCAGATGCATTGGGAAATTTCACGTTTCTCGATGAAATCACGGGGAGATCGTCATGACTTCTATTACACTCTGCTTGGGTTTTCATGACCTTTTTATGCTGATCATCTTTTATTTTTCCACAAGCCACAATCAGCTTGTCAATCTCCTCTGCAATCTTTTTCATCTTGTCCTCATCCAGATCAGATACCCTTATTTGACCTTTTGCTTTAGTAAATGCTTCTGTGGCCGCTTCTCCCCATTTCAACTGCATGTAACATTTGCCTCTCCTATCGTAAAGTTTGTACTGTAGATTTTCTGGATAGCCATTTTCCAAAGCAAGCTCAATATCTGCTAGACACAATTCATCCTTTGTCATATGATATAAAACTGCTGATCTATTCGCAAATGCCAAAGCTAAAGTTGGAGGTTTTTCGAGGTTATCGTTATTTTCGCTAGGCGAGCTACTACTCGGACAGGGTGAAAAGAGAACACTTTGCGTGTACAGATCAAGAGCCTGCTTGTATTTCTTTTTCTGGAAGAAAGCATTTCCTTGATTTCGAAGATTAACTGCTACTTCTTCACATTTTTCTTTGAAATTAGGATTTGTTTGCATGACATCTTGTGCGATTGGAAGTTTATAAATCAAATTCACTCGTTCTTCATTAGATGTGCACTTATCAAATTTCTTTCTCAATTCTTCCAAGGTTCCTTCATCTCTCAAGAAGCTGGTTATTTTGTCATACCATTCATCTGCATTGTTCTTGCTCATTGTAGTAGAGGCCATCCTCATGAAGAGCTAGTGCACCTAGAAAAGAAAAAGCAAAAAAATATATGTGTAATTGTAAACTCACAGAGAATATACCGTATTTTACCGGCAATAAGCCCCCTCTCACAAATAAGCCCCCTCCCCACTTTGGTAAATGTCCTGGGAACAGGGTGGGTGCCTGGCATTAGAAGCCCCCTCCCTAATTTTGTCTCCATCTCTAAAAAAAATATATGTCAATTTTTGTCTCTGATATAAGCAATATTATAACACATGATTATGGAATATGATGTAAACATAACAAAATATCAAGATATCTAGATGGCTTAACCTAAAACAAAACATCGTAGTGTAAAAAGGATTTTTTGCAGTTTTGTTTATTTTCATCTTTTATTTGACTTGTTTCTTCTTTCACATTTCCATAATACTTCCATTAGACCAACAGGGCTGTTGGTCGGCTAACCCTATAATATTTCAATATGTAAAAATATATTCAACATATGCATTATTGTGACAATATTGATTTTCTGCACTTGGAGTAAAAGGGATTCTTTGTCTTAAGCTTTCGGACTCACTATCTGATAATGACTGAATGTCTGATAAAACAGCCAAAAGTTTAGATTTTTACAAGGTCTACATATATACTAGTAAAAGTTCTCCAAACATCATTTTCATTGTAATTAAATGTACATTATTTTTGCTGAAATCAGTTACATAATATTACTGGTACTTGTCTATCCCACCTCATTATTTAATTCCTGATATTCACAAAATAAATTTGGTACGAGTGTCTTGATCTGAAATCATACTGTAGAAGTATTATTATAATAATGAGGCATGTTAAGTGTATACTGAATGTTCCCCTTTCAAAGGATCAGAGAACCCTTAAAAACTGAGGTGTAATAATTTAAATTTCCTGCGGTTCGTAGAATAGCGGGAAATATTTGTCCTGTAGGTACGTGGCAATCATACAGGTTGAGAAGCACGTGCGGTTTATAGCCGACCAATGAGATTGTTTCAGAAGCGTAAGGCGTGATGAGGTTAGTTTGTTAGCCATTCTAGCTTTTGGTCAGCTCAGAAACGGACCGTTTAAATTTCTGGCGTAATGGAGTCGGCGGATACGGAGTCGCCGGGACAGCGGATGCTTTCGCAAAGTGACATTCTGGAGAGTTAGAAAAGATGATGACTTGAAAGTTGGAGTGTTTTAAAGAGGAAATCAGCGAGTCACAGAGGATTATATCGGATGTACAAATTTCCAAAATGATTCTAAAGGCCAAGCAGCTAATTGCATATAAGGAGTTTCTTGTTTATTATACGGAGTAATAAGTACAATGTATATAGAGGACCTGAGGACGACTCCTCCCACGGCTAGCATGGTCATCGGAGGGATACAATATGTACAATCATCACCACCCATTCCCTACACAGCACAGGAAAGCAAGTTGAGAGTGAAAGGAGGTCTGCTTTTCATTGGATGGATAAAGCTGCAGGTATTGTACACAGAGAACAGAGAATTTATGTCACTGGAGGGATATAGCAGAAAACTCCAGACATTTCAGCAGGATGAGCAAGGCTGAAACTTTAATACTGCATGGTTGGGTGGTGCATGGTAAATAGCACACTTGCCTTTCACTAATAATGGCCAGGGTTTTATTTCCCAATCAGACTTGAAATGGTATTGGATCACCTGCCCAACCACATGGATTGTCTCCAGGTACTCTAATTTCCCCCCATATTAAGACCTCCTTGTCCAGATGGGTCTCTTAGACTGATGTGGCAACAGATGACAATACTCAATAACTTTACAGTGCACACACACAAGTGATGAGTGATGTGACATATAGTTTAACTTAGTCCGCTAAAACTGACCATAATCGCAGGCTCAAAAATTCTGATCGGTCGCCTGTTTATGTTTATGTTTATAAACAGGCCACCGTTCAGAATTTTTGAGCCTGCGATTATGGTCAGTTTTAGTGGACCAAGTTTAGCTATGTAGATGACGTTACTTTTTTTGAAAATTGAGGCAAAAATGTTTTAACTTCTCAAGTCTCCCCGAAACTATAACTGTTCTAGTTGGATTCATCATTGTAACAGATGATATGGTTTTAATATCGAACTGTTCACAAATCTGACAACATATTCTGCTATAGTTACTTTCCCTCTGTATATTAAAACCACTGTACACAAATTTGTCTGAGATGAGGATTTTCCCCTCTGATCAGAGTTCCAGTACAGCCTCTCAATTATAGAGTATCATCTGTCAGATGATGATGTTCCCAACATGTTGAAAGTCACATAAAACTATTATTAACAATAATTGAATAAGTGAAATGCGGGGATCATTCTCTAACTCAGAGATTTAATTTCATTTCCTATCGTTACATTAGTGTTACCCACCCGGCGAATGATCAATCGTAGGCCTAGGCCTACTGGATGATAACACGAACCACTTTGAAAGGTCACCATCTGACCATCTCTTCGCATCCCTACCGAAAGTGAGTCTGATGTGCGATAAATACTTCTGTCATGATGCGATAAAAACACATCGATGTCTTCACTTACCACATAAACAGGTAGTTTTTACAATCGGAGGATGCGTGTATTGCGCGACTAGATAACTGAAACAGGAAAGTTATCCTCATCAATGAAATCTGAGAGCACTCCACAGATGTAAGCGTTTTGGTGAGCAAGTGAGAAATTCTAAATATAGGGTCGGTTCAAAAAAGACGGAAATGATTCAGTGGCTGAGCGCCAATGGAGACAGAAATGGTCGACGAATCGTATTCTATTGAAACACCAGACACTTTTTTTTAACAATGAAAAGAAAATGAAAATGGCATAAAAATGAAAATATATATACCAACAAATGTGAGTTCCTGAAGAAAATAAATGTTTTTTCTCTCCGAAATCTGACTCTAAATGAAAGGGAGGGACCGGGTTACGTTAACTTCTCAAAGAATTGGCATTTTAAAAACTATTGGAAATATAATCCTGGATCAGTTGTATCAAACTTCATTTGACTAATGGCATATCCTGGAGCGCACACAGGTGATAATCTATCAAATCACCGGCTTCGATTGGTTTGTCTCCATTTAATTGCTGCACTATACAGTGACACTTATTTATTATGTGACATGTCAAGGGATTCAAGATTATTATAACTATCTTTTATTGCATCTAATATCATTAAGATTTAGCACATACATTATTATTATCATTATTAAAAAAGCAAATAACGGATATTCATTAAACTTACAAACATTAATTTATTTTGAAAATTAAAGCAGAGACGTATATATTATGTATTGAGTTAAAGACATATCTTGTTAAATCAAAGATATCTCTGAATATAATATATATAACATATATAATTAGGAGCATACGAGATATGTCTATTGTTTAAAAGATATCGCTTAATTCTAAGTATTAAAATAAATGTTAAACTGGCTTTCAATATAACAGACTTACAGATTGACTTTTATCAAATAAATAGACAGACAGACACACACACAACAGAAAGACAGACATTTACAGACAGACATGTACACCTGAAGAAAGAAACCGTTTTTTTTTTAAATGTGAGAATGGGAAAGGGTATAGTGGGGAGTGGAGCTACAATTTGTAAAGTTGAACCTTTTTGGGTCCAAGATATTATAAATTGTTTTGTCTATTTAAAAGAGACAAATTCAGAGGGAAAAGCCGAACGAACTTAGTTCCCTTGAGAACACGCCATGCATAATTGGATAAATTTGAAAATTGTAAAATAAAATGATAAGACATATTGTCTAATCCTGTTCGCTGATATTGCACGATGATTCAAACCTAACAAAATAGTATCCGCTTGTGATATTATACATGTCGTTTTTTCTGTTATAGAATAAATTAAGAATGCAAATAAATCTATATAAAAATATCCGATCGGTCATTGCCGTTAAAAATATGTTACTAAATAAATGGAAATGGAAATAGGACGACAAAACGTTATTAATTACGTCGTTGTCAAACAACCTCTATGCATAAAATCAAAAGTTCGGCGCATACATTAGAACTCTTGCATTTTGAGGGGTCCACAAAGTTGAATACTTACCAGTTAGGTTTCTCTGAATTCGCCAAAGGATTTTATTTCATCATTTTAAAACAAAATCGCTCTATATCTTAATTCCTTGTTTTGAGCGACTGTTATTTCCAAAAGGCATACAGGAATTTTAGTTACAACTCATCTTGACTTGAATAAATGAAGGGGTATATACAAAGCAGGGCAATCAAATTTGAAACTGAACGAAAACATCAGTTAATCATACAAATACGAAACAGACATACAGTCGCACAATAGAGGTACAGAGAGTCCTACAACAGGCATACACCGCTGGTTGGTTGTTTTTCTCCAGGTACTCCTGTTTTTCCACCACCATCAAACCTGGCACGTCCTAAAAAGTGTTCCAAACGATTGGCCAGAGTTGTTCGTTAATATCTAGAGACGTACGGACCTGGTGTAGTGATCTGCATCAACATCCGCTATGGTTTATACCCCAAAAAATTGACTTTAAGAAGTAGCCAAACAGGTTGATCGGCCGATAAATGTACAAACCTACGGATTCCAGTCTCTCCGAAATAGTTTTTTTCCTAATTTTCTAAAAATAAATATGGTATTTTAGTTGCCAAAAATGGTTAAGCCAAGTGCTCTAATCTCCGATCTAAAAGTGAAAATAATGGCCAAACCAAAAAAGAGGCCCAATGGGCCTGCACCTGGTATTAATCTCACACTTGCAATCTTAAGAGTGGACTAAAATACAGCTACAGGCAGAATATCAGTGTTTGATTCAAAAGAAACTATTAAAAGATTCAAAGTTATGACGCATGTGACCTTGAATGTCGAACAAGGACATAAGGTTGAAAGTGGGTCAAAGTCATTCATTTGGACAAACTTGGTAGCCTTTCATCCCAGCATGCTACAGGCTCAATTTCAGTACCCTGGGCCTTTTGGTTAATGAGAATAGGTGGTTTGAAGGTTTTACGACATTTGACCCCTGTGACCATGAAAGTGGGTCAAGTCATTCATCCCAGCATTCTACAGTCCCAATATCAGTACCCTTGGCCTTTGGTTATTGAGAAGAAGTTGTTTGAAGATTTTACAGGGACAGGTGGGCGGGACCAAAAGGGGTTATTTTGACAGTATACCTTTAAACGATATCTCCTACACAATTTGGCAGATTTCAATCAAATTTAACGAGGAGCATCTTTAGGGGAAGGGGATTCAAGGTTATACAAATAAATACCCTGACCCCCAGGGGACAGGTGGGCGGGGCAAAAAGGGGTATATTTGACGGTATGCCTTTAAATGACATATCCGAATTAGGGACTTGAAACTTTGAGACATGGTTGATTTATGTATGGAGAATTGCACAAAACTTTAGGATTATTTATATGACTTCAGGGGCCGGGCCAGTGTCATGGGGATCAAATATTAAAATGTAGTTCTAGTTTCCTGATCTACTATCTAAGATGGCACGTACTGTAATGGCCCAAGTACTATTAGCACTTTAAAAAACAAGAGGTCCAGAGGGCCTTTATCGCTCACCTGGATATCTAAGCAATCATGGCAAAATATTCTCCAAATGAGATCCAAGGGAATATGCTAGACCCCAAGACCCCTTGTAGCATATCTGTATTAGATATTTCATGCCCAGCAATTTTATGTATGGTTATGGGGTGGGGATCTCAACTGTTACATCTCAAAGGTCTTTAATAGAGTTTGGCACAGAGGTCTAATAGCAAAGCTTCTTCTTTCCTTATTCTGATTTCCAAACTCGTTTTATGGTATAAAATGTACATATATGTCTATTGTCGCATTGTTGTAGTACAATTGTTGAGGAGAGGGCTTTAATAAGTTGTAATAACTTGTGCCCAATCCTCTTGCTTGAATTTAGAGGCAATAAAATATGTTTTAATTAAAATGAAATATGTTGAACGAAAAAAAACGCTCAACGATTCCCAACCACTTGTACGGACCAAGTCCCGTATGATATTGGAAGCGAAGTTGATTAGCACACGAGATGTCTCTGACGAGACAGAGCTTACCAGACACAATGGAAATGTTCAAAGGAAATGTGTTCTATTTTGATGCACGTTCATATAAGACCAGAGAATACAAATTTGAAACGTTTTATTATGGGAAAAAATTCTGCGTTGCTGTCCGGTGAGATACCATTGAATAATCTGTTCTTGACGTTTTTACAGTTTTGTGTTTAGCTGTTAGATTCATTTTCTCAGCTTCATCAGGCAAGATAATCATATATATGTATGTGTAATTACCCAATCTAAATTGTCCACTCGGCACCCGACGCCAATATTCAAAAGCCACCAAATTAACCGTTCAGCGTATGTGTTCACAGGAGGGCGGGGTCACTGATAAGGTGGGGTACTTACCTGGAACGATGATTGGCTTGTGTCGCAGGTGAGAAATTTGTAAGAAATTTGCCGACAGAGTCATCAATGTACTTTTTTTTAGAACAAGAAGTCTATTGTCTACAAGGAATTAGATAATTAGTTTTGACCACATCGGCCTTTGAAAATTGAAACTTAAAGCGTTTCTCTAAAATAGATAAGGCCTATGTGGTCAAAAAATCCAACATATGGACTTCAATAATTATTTACGTAAAACACGTATTTCAATTAACTTATATTTACATATTTAATTTTCAGACTGATGTCCCTTTTTTGAGTTGGAAAATTGCGTATTTTCTTTGAAAGATAGTTAGAAGTTTCCTTTGATTGAACTGTTAAGCGATCACATCGTCTGTACATCAATAAGTACAAGAACAAAGGATTAATTCAACCTTAATTAAAAAAATTAAGATCGTAGACGTGATGGGATTGTAATCTACACATTAACACCGATTAATTCGCTCAAAATATATTCATGCTATTTATGAAGAGTTGACTATAAGTTATGAAGTTATTAAAATTTGGTTATCATAATGTCATTTCCAATGTTTCATGTGTTATGACATAGCAATAACAATGTCAATTATATAAATGAGAAAATAACCCAGATACATATTTATTATAAATGTAATATATAATTCTCTGAACAACCTTTTTTTATAGAATAAAACAGAGACATATATTGGAATCTCTGCCTGGCAATTTATATATATATATATATATATATATAAAATTTTGTCCGATCCTGCCCCGTTCCTGTAATTGCAATTCTTTTATTAATTATACCTTATACCCGGTAATGATACTTAAATATATCTAATATATATATCTTATACCCGATAAAAAAGATAGAATAATATAAAGATATATATATATATAATTTAGTCCGATTCTGACCCGATCATGTAATTGCATTTTTGATTAATCATCTATACCTTCTACCCGATAAGGATGATTAGATATATACAAAAAATATATATAAATAAGCCCGATCCTGCCCCGTCCCTGTCCGTTCCTGTAAATCGTTGCCCGTTCCTGCCCGCTCCATATCAAAACAATACTCTTAATTCGTTGCAATTCTTTTATTAATTATACCTTATACCCGATAAGGATGATTAGATATATACAAAAAATATATATAAATAAGCCCGATCCTGCCCCGTCCCTGTCCGTTCCTGTAAATCGTCGCCCGTCTCTGTCCGTTCCTGTACATCGTTGCCCGTTC